ATACTGTGGAAAGCTACCGTATAGACCTAATACTTTCTGCCACACTTCAGTACACTTTTTCTTCCCATAGCTTTTGCTTTTGTTTTTCCTACAATGAGACAGAGAAGCAATTACCACTCTGTCTGCTCATCTTGATACCCATGCTTCACTGGGCCAGAAAGAAGAGGAAATGAGAATGAGAGAGCTGAAGATCAAAGACCTAAAACGTGAGGAAGATATACAAAGTTTTTAATTCAATGAGATTTGCGTAGAAATGGGCACTTAAAGTTTCTACCTTCCTCAGTTTCTTAAGGAAAAGTTTAATTGCATCTGACTAAGGCAAGGAAATATGAAATAATACCTTTAAGATTCATGATGTCTGACATACTATACCTTGCATTTATATTGTGACTTACTATAAATAAGACATGTTCCATACCTGATTTCATGTATTACTAAAGCAATGCTAATTCATTAAGTAATCGTTTGAGCTTAGAATCTGAAAGGATTTAGTAGAAAAAATACATATCATTCTGAGTAGCTACAAAGGACTACTCATTGAACTGAGTGATTCGCATTTGTTATCTCCAGTCCCCACAATGACCCAGCAAGGCAGGCTCATCAGTCAGGATTACAGCAGAGTTTGAAGTCCTCCAACACATATTGCGGAAATAACCAAGACCAGGAACAGCAGAGGAACTCGGAAAGTGTAGCAAATGGCCACAGGAGCCATAGCTTTCCGTGGAGCGAAGCAGCCAACTCTGTGAGGCAAAAGGAATCAACACAGGGGAATACTGTACCCACTGTGCCCTGCCTTCTGGCTTATTGTTTGCCTTTCCTCCCATCACTCTACTAGCTGAACACAACGGGGACCAAAGGACAGGATACCCTACCGAAACGAGACAACTTTAACACAAGAGTCCTGAGCACAGGGCAGAGTGGAGAAGGTGAAAAGTGTGTCTAGAGGGGAGACAAAGTTACCTTTTCTGATCCATCCTTTCCTCTAGTACCAACTCCCATCATCTACTTGTATCTTTAATACAATTGAAAACCACTCCAAGTCAGAATGGGATGATGACAATCCAGTCTCTTAAAAACTGGAACCTAAAGCGTAACTACAACCTTTTAAAAAGAGACTGAAAGCATGCAAGCGAACCAGGAATAACTAGTTAGCATATAATGCAACTATTAGAATGTCATTCTGCAGTCTGTAATTGAGCACAAGGCCTGAATTGATGAGCATAGCAGCCAGGCTCCCTCCACCATTCCACACTCCTCTTTTGCTCTCTGCATATGATTGTCTTCTTTAGTGACAAGATGCCTGGCTCTAAGGGGTCACTGAGACCCTCACCCTCGGTGAGTGAACTATGGTCATGAACAGAGAAAACAAGTGTTTTCTCAGTTTCAGAAGCAAGTATTATTGATATGCTTCTCTCCAAGAATCCTGATGTCCCATGGACATCCTCCTCTACTATATAAATTCAGTCCATACCCAGGGCCAACAACACCTACTGACATAGTTAATGAGATCATTTTTCTGGTCCAAAGAACAAGATAGAGAAGGGTAAACACCACAACCCAAGAACAAAGATTCGGCACCACAGAGATTCATGTTTCTTTATCAGTTAAAAAGTTAAGGCATCTGCTGCAGGAGAAATGGCTCAGTGGTTAAAAGAATTGCCTTCCCTTTCAGAAGACCTGGGCCCAGTTCTCAGCACCCACTTGGAGACTCATGACCATCTGTACTCCAGTTCCAGAGGATCTGACCCCTCTTCTGGCATGCCAGAAGCACCAGGCATGCATGTGATACACAAACATGGATGTTGACGAAACACCCATACGTGTGAAATCAAAATTTAAGTTGAAAAACAACAAGGAAGAAAAAGAAATTAAGACTCCAAAAGACAAAGGAGTTTGCCTCAGGTCAAACAGTCTAAATCCTGTGTTAGTCTGTAAGCCACTGACATCCAATGGAGGAGAAAAAATGTCTTTCAGCTTCTAGTCAATGAGAATTAGGTTCATCTTAGATGCAACCAATTATCAGCTTAAAACACTTTGTTACACTGATAAGAAAATCCCAAGTTCCCTCCCATGGTCATTAAAATTAAAATGTAAAGATTATGATGAGTACGGGATTGAAAGAGATCTGCTCACTCTGTGTAATGTGTTCTTAAAGATGACATCACCCCTAATCACCACAACCTGTAACCAGCCACTAGGATAGCAACGTCTAATTCAAATACATGTGATGTATATGAATAACTATATTTTCTGGTAACCATGTTTTTAAAAGTAAAAGGAAATAATTGAAATTTGTTTTACTAGTATATCTTAACCCAAAATGTTCAAAACATACTCATGAATACACAGTTCATTTTTATAAAATTGACTCATTGTGATATTTTCATAACTTAATGAAGAGTTATCTTAATGATAACAAACCCATTAGAGCAATGGCAGATTACCTGGTTTACAGTCTTGGATAATTTTTTTTTTTTTTTTTTTTTGGTTTTTCGAGACAGGGTTTCTCTGTGTAGCTTTGCGCCTTTCCTGGGACTCACTTGGTAGTCCAGGCTGGCCTCGAACTCACAGAGATCCGCCTGGCTCTGCCTCCCGAGTGCTGGGATTAAAGGCATGCGCCACCACCGCCCGGCAGTCTTGGATAATTTAATGAGTTCATAGAACTGCTGGAAACCCCACAAGACTGTATTTATACATCCATCATTATTAGGACTGTTGTAACCTCCAAATAAGCAAAAACAAAACAGCAACAACAAAACCACTAAGGTAGACAACATCTGGGGAAGAAAAACAATGCTGACATCTGGCCTCCATATACATATGCATACATGCACACACACACACACACACACACACACACACACACACACACACGCATACACACACACACACACACACACACACACACACACACACACACACACACACACACTGAGCCTTAATGCCCTATAAGGCAAAGACAGGGCACACACACAAATGCTAGCGCCCACTTCAAGGAGACAAGAGCCCTGCTCCTGGTTTATTGTTCTTCTATCATAAACTCTTACAATTCTTAATAATTTTGTATTTGAACTTGTAGTTTTTTTTTTTTTTGGTTTTTCAAGACAGGGTTTCTCTGTGTAGCTTTGCGCCTTTCCTGGAACTCACTTGGTAGCCCAGGCTGGCCTCGAACTCACAGAGATCCGCCTGCCTCTGCCTCCCGAGTGCTGGGATTAAAGGCGTGCGCCACTTCAAGTGAAATTTGATGAAACAACAGAGAACTGTGTAAGCAGAGAAGATAGATGTAGCATGGAAGTTGTACATGTCCTCTTTTATTTTTCTGTTGCGCTATAGCATGCATGCTGCCTCGTTAGCAGGGAATTCAGGAGTCAGACCGTGTGGAACAGTTCAACAAGACTCACAGTCAGTAAAAGACAAATACACAACCAAGTAAGCAGACAGCCTGGAGAGGCAACACTTCTATTTGACACAGTTTGCTCAAACTCAGGACATTTTTTCCTAAGAGACAGGAGCCACCATCATCACATCCTTGACACTTGTGCTACTTCCCTAACTTAGTCGGGCATGCTGCAACTAATGACATGTCAGAGAGGGAAAGTCAGGTAACCCATGGCACTTTTCCCTTCATCCTTTCTCATTCCTCAGTAAGCCCCAGGTAAAGAGTGTGGGGAGAATGTGTATACACACGGAGACAACTAACTGGAGAGTTAGCTTGGGGCACATCGTCAGTGTTCCGACAAGAACAGAATACCTTGTGTACAAGCTAGGGAACTAACGGAATGACTCTGGTGATTCTTCATGGAAGTTAAATGTTCTTGTATTTGTGTTAAAAAGTAGAACTGGGGAGCTGGAGAGATGGCTCAGCAGTCAAGAACACCTATTGCTCTTGCAGAAGATTCAAGTTCAGTTCCCCACACCTAAGTCAGGCAGCTCAAAACCAGCCATGACTTTAGCTCTGGCCTCCATGGGGCACCTGCACTCACATTCACAGGCCCCCCCAACAACACATACACATAATTTAAAATGAAAATAAAATTGAGGTTCTTTTTATTAAAAATTAAAAATAAAAATGACAATTGAGTTTAGTGTGACACACCTATAATCTGAGAACCTAAGAGGTTGAAACTATAATTTAAGGTCAGCCTGGGAGTCTGTCTCAACAACCAACAAAACTATTATGGAATGTAAGCTAAACGGTTAAAAGAAACATGCTCATCCAAAATTTTCATTTTTCCTTGTTTAAAACAGCATTAAACAGGAAGAAAAGCATCACAGTCAAAACAGCAACAACAAAAACTGTCAAGAAAAGGAACTTGCTACACACCAGTGCTTGTCGTGACACTTGTGAACCAAGCAGTCCAAATACTAACTCCGCACTGTGTCTCTAATATGCTACACATTAAGCCCAATGAGCAAGAATTTAACTTTTACTTACTACAGATATTCCTGAATGTGTATAGTACACCTCCCCTCAAATCCAAATATGGCCTCAACATTCTTCTCAATGCCCAGAACAACATAGGGAAGATCTAAGAGTTAAATCTACATCACCTCCCTTCAACTCTATAGACCATACAGTAAAGTTTTTGAGCTATAATGGTCCTTAAATATCATTTCATCCTAAGACAATTAAAAAAGGTTACCCTGTGTGCTCGCTCTAATTTGGTCATATGGTAAGAGATGCATGGTGGAATGTAATAAAGATTCCGAGACCATTTGGAACCTGTTGCAATCAGGCACATGCCTGCTAAGTGAGGAGTTCAAGGAAGGAACGTCAGAAGCTCATAGGCTACTCTGGTGGGATAGTGTAAGCTCTAGGAATGCAGGCTCAGGGGGATGTCTCCTAGATTTAAAGTCTTACTTCTTTACTGATGGCACAACCTTGAGAAAGTCGAAAAGTCACTCTAATAATCCACCCCATCTATAAGAATGATGATTTTTAAAAATCTACCTCATAAGTTGTAAGGATTTAGTGAAATATATAATCAAGTTTAAAGTACCTGTTCCATCATCTAGCTTACCCCAGGCACTCGGCACATTTCTCATTATATACTGGCATCAGCAATTCACACCATCTGATGATCTTGGTCCTACAGTTAACAGTGGGAGAAACAATGTCATTATTATGCTACTTACAGCCTAATCCCATCTTTTAAAGTATACAATTGGGGAAGCTGTAGCTATGGTAATGTTTAACTTTCCCCAAAATCTCCCTTTCCTTCAAAATTGAAAACACTCAAATTATCCTGAACTGGCCCTCTCTCTGCTCCCAAAAGCATGGATCCCTGAGCAAGCCACTGCTCTCTAGTCTCTGCTGTCTGTTGTTATTTGTTTCTGTTCTTTAGGGAGCCCGCCATCCAGCTCCCAAATAAATCACACACGGAAGCTTATTCTTAATTATGAATCTTAGCTTGGCTTGTTTCTAGCCAGCTTTCTTTAACGTAAATTATCACATCTTCTTTTTGCCTTTGGGCTTTTATCCTTTCTTACTTCTGTAATCTTACTTTCTTGCTCTATTGCTGGTTGTGTAGCTGGGTGGCTAGTCCCTGGAGTCCTCCTCCTTCTCGGGCTACTTCCTACTCTCCTCCCAGATTTCTCCCTCTTTATATTCTCTCTGCCTGCCAGCCCTGCCTATCCTTTCTCCTGCCTTGCTATTGACCGTTCAGCTCTTTATTAGGCCATCAGGTGTTTTAGACAGGCACAGTAACACAGCTTCACAGAGTTAAACAAATGCAACATAAACAAAAGTAACACACCTTAAAATAATATTCCCAACAGCTCTCCTCGCTTGTAAAACCAAGAAATTAAAATCCACTAATGCTACAGATTGGCCATTCCTAGGCATCTGTATTCACAGGGGTGAGGACCACAGTTTAGTAGAGGTTACAAACAGTAATTCTTTCATTTCAGTTTTGACAGTTTTACTATAAACTAGCCAGCCTGGTATTCCTTGCACAAATGTATGTATATGTTCCATCTTCTCTAGTCTTAAAATTCTGGGATTTATTGATGAATGATTCAGTTGAACACCAAAAAATGACCCCATTAATTTTCCAGTATATCTCAGGGGTTCTAAAATGTTGTGACCCAACACAGTCATCTATGGCATTCTGCACTCTTTCAGTCAAGGGCCAGTGTGATGCTAATGTGTTCTTCTCAGCTTGACTCCCTACCTTCCCAAGTGCAGACATTTCAGCTATAATATAAATTCTAGTCTTTTCCTGTTCTGGTTAGGTCTAGATACCTGAGCACCATGCTTCCAAAATGAGGAAGAATCTAAAATAACCATCAAACTGAGAGGAGGCCTTTTTATTCATTTATTTCTTGTATTGTTGCTGTATATGCGTGTACACGTGATGTGTGTGGGTTCATGTGCCACAGCACATACATGGAGGCCAGGAAACAACTTTATGAGTTTTCTCTGTCCATCTTTTAAGTGGATTGGGAGGTGGGGGAATGATCTAACTTATAGCACCAGGTCTGCACAGAAAGTTCCCTCACCCACACAGCCATTGCACCAGCTCAAATCCAGGTATTAATCCACATTCTGATAGACAAAATAATATTAATATGCCTGCTTTACAGAACATATATTTTCACTAGACCTTTTTATATAGATATGTGTGTAGGACTGAGGTTGGGGATGAAAGTCAGAGGACAGTCTCAGATACTGGTCCTTTTCTTCTAGCTTATTTGAAAGAGGCTGTCTTTGTTGTTTACCACTGTATAAACCAGGCTAGCTGGCCTGTGTGTTCTGGAGATTCAACTCTCTCTGTCCCTTGTCCAGTTGCTGTGCACTCAACATCACAGGTGTACTCAACCATGTCTGGCTTTACATGGGTTCTGGGGATTTGAACCCAGGTCTTGACATTTGTACAGGAAGTGCTTTACCCAACCCCTACATAGGAAGTTTCAGGTCTTCGTAGCTTGAGATTATAGCACAGCTTTTGTAAACTAGGGATCACACACTCTGATCTCAGTGAGACCTTCCCTACACATTTCAGACTGCAACACAAGTGACAAGAATGTAGACACAGCAGCCACATTGAGTCGAATCCTGACTCTCAGTTTCAGCTGCTGACCATGATCAAGCTTCTCAAGTCTCTTACCTGCCTTTGCTTGTCTATCTGCAATATTAGCTCCTGAGAGTTGTATATGGACTTAAGGGGCAATACACATTGAGCATCTGGCCAGCTGACTGCCTGTGTTTCACTATGACAATGATCTCAAGCCTCTTGAAATAATGACCCCTGTAGTTACCTTCTAAGGTTTGCACTCTTTCTCTCTTCCTATTTTATGGATATACTAAAGTTCAGAGAACAGCACTTACTTGCCTAAAGCAATATTTGACTGCACACGGTGGTGCAGACCTGTAGATGCAGCAGTTGGGAGCCAGAGACAGAAACATCAATGCAAGTTCAAGACCATGCTGAACTACATAGGGAGTTCCAAGCTAGCCAGGACTGCATAGAAAGACCTTGCTTCAATAAATAACTTTTAATCACATTTTAAGAATTTTATTAGCCAAGTATGGTGGCTCATCCTTGTAATCACAGCACTTAGACAGAGTAGAGAGATTGCTCTGATTTCAAGGTTACAAAGTGAGTTCCAGGCTCACTCTGACTACAGTGTAACATCCTATCTCAAAACATCTTTTAGAAAAATAACGAGTTGAGCAAGCCAGGCTAGGACAACAGCCTTTAGCACAGACAGCACTAGAACCCAATACTTTCCAAACCTCAGAGCACTGCCTTCCCCAGGAAATGCTCACTCAGTTCATTGTATACATACATGTGTATATCTGCTCTATTAACTGTTTCTATTTATCTAGGCCTCTTGAGTAAGGATGTATGTCCTATCTTGATTGCCTGGCACCATCCCTAGCACACAGTATACAGACCTAAATGAGTAGATCCACAAGTCCTTTGCACAGCTGAGCTCTTTAAGATGTTGCAAAGACACTGACAGTCAGTTGTTTTGCTCTCAGAGAATCAGCATATTGCAGTAACGTAGTGAGGGCTTTGCAGCCAGCCACAGTACGAGCTCAAAACATACACCTGTCACTGACTCATCAATCTGGTTATGGCTAGCCACTTCACTTCATGCCTGAGAAGACACAGTAAATGCAGGGAGGATTGCAGCCAAGCACCCGATTCGTTACCCACTGAAAAATAAATAGGTTCTCTATTTTCCTCCCCATATTAATCATGTTGCTATCCTCTTTCATCCTGACTCATTCTCTTTGTATGTATGTGTGGATATGAGTATGTGCATGAAAGTGTACATGTGTGTGCAGACATACATGCATATGTCATATGCATGGGCATGTGTATGAAGGTCATGGAAAAACCTTGAATGTCTTTTCCCTGGAGCAACCGACTTCTCTTTTTAGGCAGAATCTCTTGCTGACTTGGAACTTACTAAGTAGGCTATACTGGCTGGTTTACGAGTATTGTAGTAACTTAGAGAGGGAGCTTTGCAGACAGACAGAGTATGGGTTCAAAACATACACCTGACACTTGTTTAAGTGGGAACTCCACCTCAGCCCCTGGCACCCTGGCATCCATATACCCAAAGAGTCTGGAATGTTCTGGTGGAAGATCCACCTCAACTCCCTTCCCCCATCTCTTTCCCTAAACCTACCCCTTCAAAGCCTGCCAAACACAGCTCCTCTGCCAGAGAGGCTCAAGACCACTCCCATAGGGTATATAAGCTGCATCCCAGAAAACAGACACATGGTTTTCTGGTATCCCGTTCCCATCTCCTCTCTGGGGAGCCAGAGAATCACCCAGGAATGCTTTACCCATTAAACTGGGTCTTTTCTAATTTGGTCAGATTTGGTCTGATTTGGATTGCTGTGTCAGCAGAGAGGCTTATCGAGGTGCAAAAAATTTATCACCACTGACTCATCAATTTGGCCGTGGCTAGCCACCTCACTTCAGTTCCTTCTGCTATAAAATGGCTATGGCAATATCTCCATCATAATCTTATAACTAATAAATCAGATAATAGTTGATGATGAAGCTTGTGCATCAAATTGGCTAACCTATAATATTCAAAATTCACTTAGGCAACACAACTGCAAAGATTTTATAGATTAGCTAAAAAAATTTTAATAATGAAAATTAATAGATTAACTTAAAATGTTTAACAAATTTACTCCAATGACAGCCCAAGTTCTGAGCACTAAGCCAATGTGAAATGAAAGAGATTAATAGATTGCTCATGTTAACCTTTTAAATTACTGATACTATGCAGTAACAAACTGAATTGCTCATATTTTAATCATGCAATATTATTTCTATGAACTATTGATGAACAGAAGGCAAAAGTTGAGAGAAGTAGAAACTAGATCCTACTGGGGGGGGATGGGCTTGATTTGACTAAGAGATGAAAGTGGAAGGAGGAAAGGAGGTGGGAGGAAGGGCGGGAAGAAGGAAAGAAAGAAGGAAAAAAGGAAGGAAGGCAAACAGTGTCCACTGAACCTGAAGCAGGATAAATAAATCAGCTTGTTTTAGATAATGAACTTCGTCCATTCAAACTCTGTCATGTAATAAGTAGCCAGCAGATAAATGACTGGATCAGGACACTGCCTGGCAGGTCAAAAACCTTTCTTCCAGGCACAGTGCTAAGCAGTTTATTTAGAAAATACCCAAATGTCTCTTGGGTCTACACTATTCAAGACAGCAGCAGGCCTTTCTGCTGCATCAAAGTGCACCCCATGGATAAACGTGCCCAGACTGAAAGGCCAGCAATCCTGGGCCAGCTGCTGGAGCACAGCTTTGTTCTCACCCCTCATTTTTGCTTAAGTGATCACAAACTGACTGTTATTAATGTCATAATTCCAACTTTGTTGGCCATTACACAATTAGCACCTTACAGACAACATGCCTACTTTTTAAACGTGACATTTGAGTTAATATCCTATCCTTTAGTCAAGGCACACTGCACTAAAAATCCCCGGAATCTGAAGGCAGTGAAGGTTCAGCAATCGAGCCTTGAATCCTGATTGCCATCACTCAGAGCCCACAGTAAAGAGGGCCATCTGCATTTTGAGGAGACATTAGCAAACCCCAGCTCATCATCGGGACACCAGTCCAATACGACTGTGACATACCCAGGAGAAACAAAGAACAAGCCACATATATACTCCACCTGATTCACCCGAATCTTTTGTTATCACTAGATTCCATTTGCATCCTGTTCCCAGCAGAGCACATTCCAATCAAGTTTGGGTCTTCCAGCCAAACTTTTACCTCTTCCTTCAAAATATTTTCAAAAGTATTCTTTAAAAACTTACTAAACATACAACGCCTTGCTAGACATACGACATGGAGATACTATTCTTATCCTCAAAGAGTTTATAGTCTAGAGAAAGACAAAACACACAGATATAAACTAGACACAGACATGGCACCATCTTGGCACAAACGCATTCATAAAGAGTCATGCAAATGACTCACTCAGCAAAGTGCCCACGGTGCAAGCATGGAGAGTCCCATGGAAAGCCTATGATCATGCAAGAGGAATAAAAGCTTAAAAGGGGTCTTTTTAAACTACCAGTGCACCAAAAGAAGTCTTTCAAGGAACATAATTTGCCTAAGAGCAAATGTCAGCTAATAAGTAGCAACTCAGGGCTCTAGTTGGCCTGAGTGTCCCTTGCCTCAGCAATCATCAAAGTCACGTGAACGCTGCCTTTTAATGAAAGCAATTTGCTTTTGCTACAGGAAACTGACTGACAACAAAACCCTTCTAGACAGAGTTCTCTAGAAGAAGGGTACACCAAAATTACCTGACTGGAAAGGATAACAATTTCCTGGAACTAAGGCAGGGAGATGAAGCAAACAGAGCACAGAATTGAGAAACTAAAGACCTAAGTGTGTTCGTTTTCTTTTTCTGACTTTGGTACTTACTGTAATGTGTACATGGAACTGCTATCAACTTTAATCAACATTACTCTGTAAATTGGGAACCTAATCAATTCAAATACTCCTAGTATCTTACAAAGTTACTTTAGACAAAAGCAAATAACTTCATAAGTGATTTTTGGGCCTTGCAAAACTATATGGCAGTAGTTCTCAACCTGTGGGCCCTGACCTCTTTCATAGAGGTCACATATCCGACTTCCTGCATATCAGATATATTACAATTCATAACAGTAGCACATTACAGTTATAAAGTAGCAACAAAAATAACTATGGTTGGGGGTCACCACAACATGAGTAACTGTATTAAAGGTTCAAGGCATTAGGAAGGTTAAGAACTACGGGGATATGGCTATGATCCATAGAGTCTAGAAAAGTATAATAATGTGAGACTGGAGGGGTGGTTCAGCATTAAGAGCAATGGCTGCTCTTCTAGAAGATCCAGGGTCAATTCCCAGCACCCTTATAGTAGTTCTCAACCATCTCTAACTCCAGTTCCATGGGATGTGATGCCCTCTTCTAGCCTCTGCGGGAACTGCACAAACATAGTACATACACATACATTCAGGTGAAACACTCATAAATGTAAAATAAAAATAAATAAAATCTCAAAAGAAGAGAAGAAAAGCATAACATGTGGTTATGTTACTTATCAATGAAGAGACTACCTTTATTTTTCAAAAGTGTCAGCCCCATATCTTCCCCAGGATTCAGCATAACCAGTCGAGTTTCAAACAACATCTTGAATGTTAAAGTAATTGCCATTCAATTAAATAAAACATTCATGTTTATTCTTTTGATTCATTCATTCAATAAATGTGCATAGCCTATCTAATCTCTGCATAGTAGTATAGGAAACACCCACTCCTATATCACATACTCAGATGGATGAGGCATAGGCTAGCCACTCAGGTAATTAGGGCCCATCATATCCTAAAATTGAAACATGGTTCCTGAGACACAAAACTATTATTTCAAATATAATTTTATGAAGAATGTATGTTTCAAAGAACTTTAAGCAGGTTAACCATGTGCACGGCTACAAAGAATTATTTAATAGCCTTCTTTGGGTACTGTATGAGTGCTCTCAAAAGCAAATCCAAGATGGCAGTTTCTAAGGACTGTGGCTATGAGAAGCTCAGACTTTTAATTCTCCTGAGAGAAGAGTAGAAATTTGGACACTAGAGAAGTGGGAAGATGCCATCAGTAGTAGTCTGTTTCACACTTACAATATTGAGATGCAAAACGAACAAACATTAATTTACAACTATTAAAAAGGAATAAAGTTATTATCCTAAAAGAGATGTCCATGTGTTTTAAGTCAATAAGAGTCTCTATTTGTTTTGGGTGTTTTGGGTTTTTTTGTCATATGGAATTATGAGGCCTTGGGAATGGAAGCAAGCACAAGCCTCCCCGACGTTTCCATGGCCCTTGTCCTCTTTTCTCTTTGACTACTAAGATAGCACCCATGTCAAATGACAGTGTTTAGGAAATTATAATGTAAGGACATTTAGGGTTCTTTATTCTACTTTGTCCTTTTAATTTCTTTTTAACAAAGAATTCCAAATATGAGACACACAGCTGTTTGCATATAAAACCCAAAGGGGACAGGAACATCATTCTTTAGCTATCAAACTATATATGCCTCCTACAGAACGAGACGGTACTCTAATGATTTGAAGCTCCTCTACACCCCCTCTCCACAAACAAACAAAACCATGCAGTCTAATAGGGAACGTGTTTGAAATTGAAGTCTACAAATGTCTGAAGTAAAGCTCAGCCCTGAAAAGTAATCAGGGTGTCCCCTGGTACAAGCTAATGCCAATTGCCTCCAACAAGATCCATGGTACAGTTTTAAGTGTAAAGGACACAGGAACAAGGGCCATTAAACAACCTAGCTGATTAGACAAAATCCACATTACCTGTTCTGTGATATTTAAACAATAAAACAACAACCCTGCAGTGTTTGTACAACTCAGAGTCAGAAGAAAACAAAAACAGAAATATAATTAAATGAGAGTAGACTGAAACTTGTAACAAAGAAACAAAAGAGCCTGAAAACCACACTTACTGTTTTCACTCCTTCACACTGCTCCTTTGTGCCCTTGGAAAGTCACTTGGACTCTCTGGATCTCATTGTCCTCTGTGAAATGAAGAGGCTAGATTATATAATCATTTACAGTGGTGAACAGCTGTATGATGTAACACGAGGGAGTTACAAGGTCTGGTGTCTTAATGCCTGGTCTGTCATGAAATGTTAGGCAAATCATTTAACCTTCTCTAAGCCCCAGAATGCCTCATCTATGAAATGGAGACAAAAATCACCTGCTCTGCTTCTTTTACAAAGCTCAAAATAGCCACACTGAAAATGGTCAGAGAATTATGGATGCAAAACGATCAACCACACTGAAAATGCTTAGAGAACTGTGTATGTGATACTATCCACATGGACTAGAATCACAGGATCATCTTTAAAACTTCCAGAAACATTCAGTGGAAAAATTTTTGTCTTTTTTCTCAATTACCACAGGACCAGTCTATTGCTATGAGCAAATTTGATGATTGATAAAATTGCAGCAAAGTCTATCCCATGAGGTAATGCGAATCAGAAGAACTTCAGACACAGATGTTCCACATGACCTCCAGGAAGGCACTTTGATCACCCCAACTTCCTGCTCTCACAGATGTGGGGCTAGACGAACTTTAGTGCAGAGTGTTCACCAAGTGATCACTAGGTACCATGATCTTCTACTGCATCCCTTCCTTGGGTCACGTGTCACAACAGAAGATGCTCAGCAAGCTCATGGGTGAAGTCGCTGCATGGATATACATTTGTTTAGTCCCTAGTAATCAGTCACAGGCAGGCAGTCTGTCCCAGAGTCCATACACATGACCACTGAACAGAAGTTCTCAACCTTTTGGGGTCTAGCACTCTTAAAAATAATTGAGGGCCTCTAAAGCATCTTAAGTGCTCTATTTGTATTTACAATATTACAGATAAAAATTGTAGGAGATGGAGAGATTGCTCAGTGGTTAAGAAAACACATAGCTCTTCAGAGGACTCGAGCTCAATTCTTAGAACCCACATCAGGTAGCTTACAGCAGCTCCTGACACCTGTACTCACATACACATACCTGTACACACACACAACTACACCCACATGCACACACACACACACAATTTTTAAATTAAAATTGAGAAAAAATAAAATATATTAATTCATTTCAAAATAATATTAACTCATTATCCATTAACATGAATAAAATATTTTGTGAAAATCTGTGTTTTTAGCTAGGTATAGTGTCCCATGCTCTTAATCCCAGCACTTGGAAGACAAAGGTAATCAGCTATCTGTGAAGCTAAGCTGTTCTACCTAGTGAGTTCCAGGCTAAGCGGGGCTTCATAGTAAAACCCTGTCTCAAACCAACCAACAAATAAATAATGAAGAAGGTATATGTCCTCAAAGTAAAATAGTGGGAATAATGATATCCTTCTGTTTTATAGGTTTCTTTAAGGCCTGGCTTCAGAGAAGGGTATAGAAGTGACAATTTCTTCCCCAATGCAAACACCAAATCCAGGAAAACAAAGCATTGTATAAACAACTGCAAAGAAAACTAAGAAGAAGACAAACACAATTTTATCAGTGCAATGTTAACATTTATCTAATAAGCACCTTAAACTTCTAAATTAGAAGGTCACCATATTGAGTGAACGAAATGGAATAATAATCATAATGAGGTTATAAATTGCATTTTATACTTCAGTGATAATCCCAGGCAAATCAGCTGTTACTAGCAATTAATGATAATTTATTTTTGTTAACAGCTTGAATAAGTTTCTAAGGGGAAATTAATGATGGAGAGCTTGACTTGGAAAAAGTGCATGTGCCTATATGATTTTAAGAAGGTAAAACACAAATCTTCCCTACCAGGCAGAAGGTAAAGGGAGAAAGGTGATGACTTGGACCCCAGAAGATGTGGTTGCAGTAGCCCCTGGACTCAGTGGCAGAGTGTTACTGAATAATAGTTAAAGATTTGTTACATTCTTTTGTGCTATGGAATGTTTGTTTGATGATGCAAATATGTGCTGCATTCTTTTATGTTGCATTTGTTTAACTCTGTGAAGCTGTGTTACTTTGCCTGTCTAAAACACCTGATTGGTCTAATAAAGAGCTGAACAGCCAACAGCCAGGCAAGAGACAGGATAGGGGAGGTTGCCATGCAGAGAGAATATATAGGAGGAAAAATCTAGGCTCAAGGTAAAGAATGAGGAACGAGAAAAGGAGGAGAGGAGGATGACAGGGGCCAGTCACCCAGCCATGGAGTCAGCCATGAAGTAAGAAGGAAAGAAAAGATATGCAGAAATAGAAAAAGGTGCAAGCCCAGAGGCAAAAGGTAGATAGGATAATTTAAGAAAAACTGGCTAGCAACAAGCCAAGCTAAGACTGGGCATTCATAAGCAAGAATAAGTGTCTGTGTGATTATTTGGGACCTGGATGGCAGACCCCCAAAAAGAGCAAAGAGTTAAAAAAAAAAAAAAAGCAGCTACAGCAGGGGACTGTTCTCCTTGACAGCTGTCATTTATATCACTCCCTTCACTAAGCCCATGCCAGACTGTCCCCTTTCCTACCTGTTCCTCCTTCTCCCAGACTCGGGGACTATCAGTTTGATTTCCAAAGTCCCATAACATTAATGTGTGACCTTACAAATGAGTAAAGGTGTTATTCTGAAACCCTTTCCCTTCAAGGTACACTTCACTCTGAGATAGTATTTATTCATCTGATAACTGTTTAATGAACAATATTTACTTTTACCCCTCCCCAGTCTTTATACAAATACCACCTTATCTGCAAGGGCCTTCCTGGGCTATCTACCAAATCCATCTTTTCACTGATACTCCCTCTTATCTCCCTCCTTAATTCTTCCTATAATATTTATCAAAGCCAATAAATTTTCATTCAATTATTTTTGCTTCATATTTCTTCAAGTAAAGTGGGCCTTCCAAGACAGACTTTGTGCATTTTCCTCTCACTGTTGTGTTCCCAGATTCTGCCTTTGGTGCTCTGAGTCCCTTTCATTGGAAGAAAGTCAGACAAAAAAAAAAAACTGCCATCAGAATGCTCAGACTCTATAATACTGATCAGTATAGGAAGAGAAAACCACAAAAAGAAAAAACTCTCAAAAGAATGAAAGTGATAGGAATAAATGAATGAATGGGAAGAAATAGGAAAGGCGGTCATGTAGCTCCCAGTGCACCAGTGGCTCTCAAGCAGGTACATGTGACAGAGACATGTATCCTAGCGTTCTATGGTCATGATTCGTATTGTGGGCGCTGGTACTAACAGCATAAACTATAGATTATGTATAAGCTCCCTCGTGTCTTCAGAAGTTCCTAGATTTTGTTTAAAGTGGAAAAGCACATATGAGCTGGGAATTCAAGAGGCCGGACACGGAATTCTCATGGGGGTGAACTTAAGTCTGTTTTCTTTGGTGATGCAATTGTCCCTGAAATTGATAGTTTCCCTGTGATAAGCAACTGGTGGGAATTTTTCTTACTCTCCGCTGTATGACTTCATGTTGTTCCTTACTTACTCCACAATCCCCTTCTATCACATAGTTGGACATATTCCTGGAACTCCAAGTTTTATGAATCATTAACTGAATCACTGAATGAAAAACTCAACAAAGGAAGAATGACAGGTTAATCGTTAATTGAAAGACCAGAGATTCTAAAAGCCCCCAAACTCGGGGGTTTTTTTTCTGACCTTCACAAATAAAATTACATTTTCCCACCATTTGATTACATGCTAGTTTGTAACTGTCTTCTGCAAGGAACTCACATTTCACCCTGTGGTCCTTCAATTTCAACATAAGGTCTTTCCCTCACCACTACGCAGTCTGAGGACAGGGCCTCCTTTTCAAGACGTTCTCTAAGTTGTCATTATGCATGGATGTGTATATTCCTTTCTTATGAGACTGTCTCAAATCCATAAACCATGAGCTCCAGGAACCTAGTAACAACATACAATATTGTTCACCCTACATCCCCAGTATCAACCTAGCCTTAGTGGGTATATCATCAATATTTGTTAGATGAAGAAACTAAAGCATAACCTCTAAATCTACCTATACAATATCTTCCCTAAAATTACCCTTTCTGACTCTCATAACATACACGTTAATGCTTTGAACATGATAGTGAATCTGCAAATATGAAATTAGTTATACCTTCCAAAATACACACACATACATACATACACACACACACACACACACACACACACACACACACACACACACACACACACACACACACAATCACGTATGCACACATATGTGCATGAAACTGAATGTGCATCTGTAAGGCAGAGACTGAATGCACTTTAAGAACTTCACTGCAGCTTTCTGCATTTGGCCCAGAGCTTTCTTCATTGCCTTATTTTTATGTTCAAACTGAATTAATTACCATCAGGCATTATGGTATTGACAGAGGAAGCACCTACTTGCTACAACCTTTAAGACAACTGCAAATAGAATAAAAGCCTTTGTCATTTGAACAGAAACACATATTTTACTGAAATTAACCAGCATGTACTAGAATCTAAAAGGAAAGTAATTCTGCCAGGATTGGCAGCTTGGCAGAATGAGTCTACAACACTTGGCAATAGCGTTTATGTGGAGGCCCTTGTTCGGAGCCATCATTTACTTACAAGAAGACATCAATTGCAAAGCTTATTTCAAAGTCATGTTACATTTCAGTTGCTCCAACTTTATCAGCATGTTTGAGCTCTTACTTTTTAAATAAGAAAACATCTTCAAAAGCTAACAAACTAACTCCTGGCCTGCTCTCCTCCAAATGAAAGCTACAATACACTTAGTCACTTCCTCATTCCATTATTGATCCTCTTCTCCCCAAGGGCTAAGTTGACACAGAGTAAAGAGACAAGTCAGAAACACCTCCCCTGGTACTTGCCAGCTCTCGCTACTTGACCCAGTGTATTGTATAGGCCAACTAACAACAATCAATTACTTAATGCTCTCTCAGGGCTGCTTGGGTGTTTGTCCTGGTCCACAGCTCTCTACTATTGACTCCTTGAAAACCATTGGCATCAAAAAGGCCACCTCACTCAGAATCAAGGTTTTATTCTGGAACACAGGAAAATGCTGAGCATTTGCATTTTGTCTTTTACACTGTCTCATAGATGCCCCTCTCCATCCTGAAATTACCAGGAGTTTTCCATCCAAGCTCTACTGTATGGAAAATAACAACAGTCTCTGCCCTGTTTCCTTCTGTTTTTTATGATGGAGATGAATTCCATGACTTCAAGAATACATAAGCACTAAAAGAAAAAAGTTCCTTAGACAGAATAAATGTGGCTTGTACAGGTAAAAAAAAAAGTCTGAGAAGAGACAAATTAACTGTGGATATAGCTTAGAGGTAGAGGGCTTGTCTAGCACATACAAGGCCCTGGGTTCTATTCCCAGTACTGAAAAAACATCCAAAACAAAAGAACATGGTATAAAAATTCCTTCCAATTGATGAAAATAGAAAAGTCATTATTGAAAGGTTGGTTTGTCAATCAGGCCTTCAAGATAAGTAAGTTCAGTGAAGTGAACTTAGGGTGGCTATCTGTCCCAGTTTGCCTAACACAATGCTATCCTTTTGGTCAAATATAATTCAGATCTTTTAAAAAGTGGGTGGGGGCATGGCAAGAAGGCTCAGAAGGTAAGATCACTTGCTGCTCTTATAGAGGATTCAAGTTCAGTTCTCAGCACCCATAATAGGCATCTCAAATTCCCCTGGACTTCCAGCTCCAAGGGATCTGTCACCCTCTTCTGGCCT